TGTGCGGTGGCAGTGAAGGCAGGATAGATTGGGGGCTGTATAGTCAAGTGTGTGGTCGCACTGGTGGATGGAGAGTTGTTAGTGCTGGAGATGGGAGAGTTGTTTGGTATGCAATGTGTGTTTGGAGTGTAAGTTTTGAAGTGAACTCCACTTTCGTTGATGCGCATGTGACCGAGTAGGGCCGTGTGCGACGATTGTATGCCTGGCTCCGGGCACTAGTGCACCATTTACGATACGGTTAATCAACAAGTAATCGACGACGCCGATGCGTGAGATGCATGTGCAATCGCAATTAGAACAGGTCAGATTCTTGTCCCCATTGCTGCCGGTGAAGGTAATAATTAATAGGCGTCGAAGGTGGTGGTGGACACTGTGATTAACGCGAGGGTTGCAGCGGGGAAAATGGTGACAATGATCGACGGTGGCGTAGCATCGGGATTGAGATCACCGGTGGCGGTGGTCGTGGTAGTTGGCGTAGGAGTGCCAATAGTGTTGTTAGTGGATATAGCAGTTGTGGTTGCCGGGTTTTGTTGCAGTTCGACGAAACATGAAAATTTATTCGACATTTTTGGGGTGAATAGCTTCAAAATTAGAGGACCGAGTAGTTCCTTTAAACGTGACTTACTGTCCCATTATATAAAGGGAATATTAAAAAGTATTAACGTTTTCGATCCGTTCTGTGAAATACCTGAAATACCTGACATCCATCAGTCCAAAGCTTTTCCGGATCATTTCCGATGAAATTAAAAAGGACGCATTAATATGTCGTGGCACATATTGATATCCGATTTCCCTCTGCGTAGGATGGACGTGCCTTGGTTTATATTTTTCTTCGGGTTTTATGGTCTTATTAAACACAATTTGCAGGATATCCCGTGTCGACCTTGATGTAACAATTATTTTTTCCTAGTACTGGCCTGTAAGCAGCTGCTAACACATTCAACACCGAAGATACTAGTCTATCAGCGTGACCGGATTACCTGGAGGTCATGCGACGTCACAGCAAGGGATGTAGTTTGAAGTTCTCTCAAGGTGCATTTTACGTCGCACACCTTAGTATTCACCTTCTATCTCATTCATTCTTCCACCTTCATACAAGTCCTTACCATATTTTTTTCTTTCTTCACTCTTGATAATTTTTTATGCCACCGTACTGGTTTGTTTTGCCCTACAGCTATCCTATCGGTTTTTCAACTTTATAAATACTTCTATATTATATACACTAATCATAAGACCAATTTTTTCCTTAAGCTTACGTTTTATGTAAGCCGTGGTAGATTTTTGCCACCGGTAAGCGGCCTGTAATAGAATTATTCTCTTTTTGTACAGACAATCGGCAAATTAGGGGTGGTTTGCTCGCAGTAAACGAGGTCCGAGTTATTTTGCCGAGAAGGTTAATAAGAGTAACTCCAAGAGCCAATTGTCAATGCATCTAACGTACACGTCTGCCCTGCCCTGCCCTGCCACGCGTTCCTTTTGCTCGTTGTGCACTTTTCACGAAGTGGTACTGTGACAATGCCTCCGACTAACTTCTTCGCCTCATTTCAACCCTCTCCCACATTAGATACAACCTAAACTG